AGATGCCATGGCAGGAAAGACTGATACCCAGAAAGGTTGTTGGAACTGTGAAGAGCAAGGAAATATCAGGAGCCAGTGTAAGAAAAATACTACCAATAAGTCAGCTTCGGGAATCCAGTAGTGGTTGGTGTTGAGGGATGCCCACCAACCCCCATCGTGAAAGTCCCAACATCTAAGTGTAAAATGGCAAGCACACATAGTGTCTACGTGACAGGGAAGCTGGATGGCCAAAGGTGTGACTTTGTCATAGATTCTGCATCTCAACAAACCCTTGTGAGTATCAAGGTGCTGGATCACAAAGGAGTACCAGAAGCTGTACAGCAGCACTGTGGTGTGACAGGACATCATGCAAGGTTGTGGGGACCAGTGTGAGTAACTATTGAGCTCATAGGCATGAAGAACAGACAGAAAGTATACTTGGCTGACATTGAAGACCAATGCATATTAGGATTGGACTATTTAGTATCGAGGAAGTGTGAAGTTAAAATGACGATTGGAAACAACAAAGGCCAAATTCCAGTAAGTGTTGCTGCTTCTGTTGATTTGTATGTCACAGCACTTAAGTCAACTGCAATACCCCCTACGTCAGAGAAGATAATTTGGGGTAGAATAAAAGAACATCCCCAAGGAAGCCCAATGATTGTGGAAGCATTGGAAGTCCCATCCAGGCCAGCGGATGTGAAGATTGGAAGGTCACTTGTTGCAGTTCATCAAGTAGTACCCATAACAGTGGCCAATTTCTCTAAATTTGAGCAGACACTTAAGGAAGGAGCATTGTTGGGTGTGTGCCAGGAGGTAGAGCCAGTCAATGTTAAAGCAAGAAATACAACCATAAAGAAAGGACATATACCCCCAGAACATTTAACTGACCTCTATAAGAAGAGCACAGCCCATTTGTCATCATCACAGGCTCTTCAGGTTAGGGAACTTTTGGCAAATTATGCAGACGTCTTTTTGAAAGGGGATCATGACCTCGGCTGCACAGACCTTGTGGAACACAAAATAAACACAGGCAATCACCGTCCAATAAAGATCCCTCCAAGAAGAATAGCTCTGGCAAAGCGACAAGAGATGGCCTAATTAAGGAAGGGATAGTCGAGAAATCAGATAGTCCCTGGTCAGCTCCCATTGTGTTAGTCCAGATGAAGGAAAGATGTACGAAAGATTCAGGAAAATATAATTGTCGCCAGCCTGTATTTAGTCCATAACATACCATTCACGCTAAAAATAAGTAGAAAGAATAGACAGACCAAGCAAGGAATCCTTAGAACGGGGCCTACTACTTCTATACGAAAAACAAGTATATATAAACACAGTACATTTACTGTCAAAAAATAAACATATTATAATAGATGTACTTCTAAGCAATAACCAAACAGTCACAATATCGGGTATATACTGCTCACCACAAAACAAACCAGACACTACAATACTAAACAACCTCGTCTCCCATAACAAAAAATATATTTTTTAGCCGACTTCAATAGCAAAAACATGATTTTCGGTTGCAGAACCACAAATGCTAATGGAATACATCTACATTTCTGGAAGATTCAGATACGTACCTTCTAAACGATACGACACCAACTCATACCAGTGACACATATCACTCCAGTGATATACTAGACTTTTCTATTCAACTCAGGAAAAGATCCAGACAGCGACCATTTACCGATATGGTACACTACACCAAAATCAAACCAAACGCACAGAAAGATTTAACTACAAAAAGCAAATTGGAAGAAACATGAGAAGATATTAATAGAGCTTCCCCAACACGACCCTATCACACCAGCCACTAGCAACCTAGATATAGATAGGTGCTGTTCAGTAATCTCAGAGAGCCTCATGAGAAGATATTAATAGAGCTTCTCCAACACGAATCTATCACAACAGCCACTAGCAACCTAGATATAGATAGGTGCTGTTCAGTAATCTCAGAGAGCCTCAATAAAAACAGCAGACACATGTATACCAAAAGTATCAATAAACAGTACCGAAATCACTGGCAACCGAAAACTGACATAATCAACAAAATAAAGGAACTAAGAAGATTAAAAAGAGAATATATGACAACCGGTGACTCACAAAAAAATGGGACATAAATAAACTCAAAAACAAATCCAAAAGATTTCTGGTCCAATATAAAAAAACCTTTTCATGAACATAGTAAATAATTATATCACAACCAGTCGTAATATATACAGTATACGCCACGCTTCACTAAGGACACTCAACGCAATAACACATCAGAAGCAGAACATGACTACATCACAGTAGTAGAAGTACAATAAAACATAAAACTTCTGAAAGACAAAATTCAAAACATATTACTCAAGAAAAGCCTTTTGGGATTATTAGAACATCTCACATCTTTATACAACTTAACTCTAAAAACAGGATACATACCAACCGCTTGGAAACATGCTGATGTTTTTATGTTCCAGAAGGAAGGAAAGTTACAGACCCATAAGTCTAACAAGCAATCTAGGAAAACTTCTAGCAAAAATAACAAATAATAGACTCATAAATTACT